GATTGATAGAGAGGGAACGACGGGAATTTCCGACGTGACTTGCCGTTCGAAGCAGTTCGCGTTGTTCCCTTCGCGTTTGATCGGTGTTTTTGTTTAAATCTCGGAATTCTTTTCCCGTACACCATTCTTTTTAAACATTGCCCACGTTCCTCTCAGCTGTTCCTTAAGTAATTAGCAACTTCTTTATTAACGAGGAACGATCTTTGGATGTACTCGATTTATTGTAAATATTCAAGTATTCCAAAAATTCATTCAATAATTTTTAATGATCATCCAATTTGTAAAGATTCTTTAAAATTCCAGTTTACCTCAACGCATTATACGCTATGTTTCATGCACCCGAATTTAAGCTGTACGATAACGGTATTAAGCTTCGGCTTTCAATATTACCTCGTCAACAGTTCATGGGCAATCGAGCGGCGACTCGCGAGTTGCTCAAGCGTTTAGCTTTCTCGAGGAGGTAAAAATAAAATCTGGAAAATTGTAGCGCCGGGGTGAATTCTGATCGCGTAACAGGGGTGGCCTCTTTTATTAATAATTCAAACCCACCAATTTTTTACCTTATTTACTGAAGGATTAGGGGATTTTTGCAAATAATTTCATTAACATCAGAGGTGAATTTTGTTAGATTACAATGTCAATTATCACAAGTTGAATCAGTAAAAAATACGCAATTACTTCGTGTTACGTAATTTGGTCAAAACTTATTTAATCATATTCTTTCCGTACATAATTTATTATACAAATTCTGGTAACGGTAATTAAACAATTTTATCAATGTTATAAAACACGGTCGGGGAAAATTGATTATCTGAACTTAAGTTGCTTGGACGTTATTCATTTGCTCACGGTAAATAATTTGTTTATCGAGAGCCGGTTTCCCGTCAGAGTTGAACAGCTACGGTTACACGGGAACTCTATCCACGTCATATTTGCGTAACGTTTCACGCCCCGGCGATTTTTCGTTCCATTCGTCGAGTCGCGCAGCTCGTGCATCAGTGTCGAAGGAAGTGCGTCCGTTTGAATTTTCGGCGATTTCTATACGCGAAACAGAACCGATACCCGGCACGACTCTAACAGCAGCTCTATCTCCGCGAATTTTTGGGTACAAGGCGATATCTCTGTTAAATTCTAAAAAAAATCTGCCAGCTGTCAATTTTGCGTTTCGTCTATTGTTGATTACGTTGATACAACGTTGATTGACTGCACTTGGAGTCTCTTAATCGTTCTCGAGCAAAATAGCTGTGGACCTGCCCTTTAAACAGGGAAACTTGTGGCGACCGAACGGACATTATAGTAATCAGAATCGAGCATGTCGCGATGCGACTCCGATGCTTGTAATTAATTTCGGTGGCGTTGTTCTCGCGTGATTTAGTGGCCTCCGGTGGCCGTGGTGGGGCGAACGGTAAAACTAATTGCAATTACTGTAATTACTGTGCGTTGTTACTCTCGTAGAGCATTGATGAGCTTCCTTGCATATTCGGTTTAATGAATTTTAAGAAAGGTTCTCGCTCGGTTTAGCGATAGTCGATGTCGCAGTCGAACGTTTACAGGTAGGCTGTTCATCAATTTTATTTCGCTCTCTGCAATATTCGAGGTTCGTTGTATAATTATTGTATTAAGCGCAAAGTTTTGATATTATCCTCTGTCTAATGAGGTCCCTCAGTTTTTGGGATTCCGACTAAATTAGCAACTTAATTAGCATAATCATCGTAATTAGTTTGCGCAGCGAAACTTTGACATCGTCCTGAGTTAGAACTTGGAAATTAGAATAAGTTTGGGAGTCCGCGGGTGCTAACGCCTCGGCGAGCTCAAAAGATATGAATATGACGAAAACAAACGTTTCTTATTAAATTTTCTTTGCCGCGCGGCAAATATTAAATCTCGCGAGAGAACTTGAGCGAATCCAATTTTTGTTAAACGCATCCGCGAGGCCAAGGGACGCTAAGGGAACCGCGAAACACGAAATTTCTCTTACGCCTATTAACAAACTTCGGCGAGCCACGTCCCGGCGTCCGAAGTTTTAGGCAAAATCACTTTTTAGTTACGTCGTATTTCGACAAAGAACTTTCGGACGAAACTTTATTTAAATCAAGAGGGGAACGGTGGAAAAGTCAAAGGGAAAAGAAAGTTGGAGCAAACAAATTTTCTGTTCGATATCCCGGGCGAACTTAAAATCATCTTTCTCTTCTTACTCCTTCTCTTTTTTCTTCTATCTCTTGGCGAACGATAAGAGTAAGGATATTTTCTAAAGTAAAAATTTCCCAGCGTTGGGAAACGGTCGAAACGTTTGATTAAATTTTTTATTCCGAAGGGAAACATTGTTCGCCCGGAGATATTGCAAATTTCAAACGCGTCAACCGCTTATCTATCCCGTCGTAAGACATTCAATTTTCACCGATCCGATTTTCCTAAACTCCTGATCGAGCCTTTTTTTTTTACAACCGATAACGTTACTTTCCCGTTCTCCGTACTTATTCAAAGCCACATTTTACAATGTCCCAATTTCGACTGTTTCCTTAAAAAATTCGAAACGTTTCAAATCAGTTCTCTCATATTATTTTAAAATCACAACCAAGTTAAACAAAATGGACAATAAGTAGTTTATTTCTAAATATTCTAAACCAGACAGCGCATTTCACTAATCCTCGAGTTCAGTGAACGCACCTTAACCTTCCCGGGGCGGAGAGAAGTGGATAAACGGCAGTAGCCGTTTCCCTAAATGGGCGCGCATATAACGCGTCTCGTGGTCAGAATGCATCCATCGGAGCCCCGGGAAACTGTCCACTCCGCGGCTCGCGAGACATAATACCTTTTGATGACGTCATTAAGCCGGAGCCGGCTTATTGTTTCTCGTAAAACGTGCGTGCAAACGCGCGCGTGCGTTTCGCCGTCGAGAACCGATGCTAAAGCGGGCAGGCGTCGTCGCTGTCCGAGGCTAAACGAGCCTCGGCCGTCGTCGTCTACATTTTCCACAACGGGACGACATAAACCGGGCATAAACTTCTAATTAAATCACCCTAATGGCATGTGTTCGCCACACGTGACGCGTCTTCCGGCACAAACTTAGTATTTCCGGACTACACCAATAAATCTTCTCGCGCATCAACTCGGATTCATGGAAATTTATCACCGTTCTTTTACCTCTGTTTAAGTTTTTTCCGTTCCGTGTTTACACGAAGTTGAATTTACAATTCAATCTAAAACAATGTTTTTATAGAAAAGAGATGCAAGTGGATTTTGCACGGTGAATCATGTTTATATCGCGTTGGCAAGAAAGTAATTTCGGTCTTCATAAATACGTAGTATTATAAGAAATTACTTTCTTACGGATCCAATATATTTTAACACAAAATAACAACGGAATTATTCGAGATCAAATAGAACGCATTAATTGTTGTCACTAATATTTATGCAGAGAATAGTCGTCTCTGTATCAGCAATTTAATTTTTATGGGACGTACAATAAGTATAGAGGAAACGGCTATATCTACTATCCTGCTCGTACAGTTTCTCCCCCGGTTAAAGGAGATTCCGACCACGAAAATAATTGCCGAGGAGCGTTTCTCGCTTCGGTATCTTCCTCCGGCGTGTATTTTATCGCGCGACCCGTTCGGCTAATGGTCCGTGATCACTGGGCGATAATCGGGATCTTATCGGTTTTTTCCGGACGCACATACACGCGCGACATACACAAACACAAACACACACACACACACACACACATACAGAGAATTTGCGGTGGTCCACGTTGGGAAAGGGTGACCGGTTACAAACGGGCGGCGGCGGCGGCAGTGCCGCACACCGTGGGGCTTCTCTTCTTCAATTTCGTTGTTAGTTTCCCCTGTTGTCGGATTCCGGTCCATTCGTCGCGGGTCGTGTACGTGACGCGAAAAACGGATGCGGGGAGCCCGCGCGGTTTTCCGTGTACTCGTGGCCAATTCGAAAACCCCGGGACAAGACGAATCGCGGTCGTGCGAAATTGTTCGCCGTTGTGTTCCTCGAATCCGGATGTTCCACGACCGTGAGAGAGTTGGCCGGGTTTTAATTCGACGAGATTAGGGTGTGTTTTGTAGGTATAATTCGTAAAAGGTACCGCGGGTAAGGAATTGCGGAAGGAAATGTTTCCTCCCTTTAGAACTTTACAAGATGGTAGACCGTTTTAATTTTCCACGGGATCATGCTAGTTTTTCAGCCGCCACTGGGGAAAGAAATAGCAAAAGTTAATTGAGTATTACGGAGTAAAATAAGATTACTGTTATTCTCTTATATACCTTCATACAATCTTAAAAAACGGGGGAACTTTCTAAAGCGTAAACTAATTGGGTGGTTGCATATAGCAGTGTCGTTTCCTAACACCACCGCTCTAAGGTTATTAAGGGTTAGACGTTAAGATTCGTGATTAAGATTAATGAGCGTCTAAGATTTGCTCGCGAGATATGTTGTGCCTCGAGATTACGGATTATATTAAAACTGCATTTAGATTGCAATTACCTATTCAAATTACGAAAATTGGAGCACGCTATAATAGGCTTTTTCGTGCGAATTGCGTGCGAAACGTATTGTATATTAATATTATTTGTTTACTATTATTATTGTTATTACTTCGTTGTTTTATCCTATTATTCTTATCTATCTTATTACTATAATTATTCTGCTGTCTTATCTTATTTTTTGTTATTCAGCTGCACAGAACTGTATTAATTACTATTATTTATGTAACAGAAAGGATTCTATCCGTTAATAAAGTTAAAGTTAAAGTAAAGTTTAATGTTACTTTCGTTGTTAGATCGCTGATCTTATGCATTTATGCAATGATTTCATGACGCAGAAAGTATACGGAGTACACGTAATACAATATTAAAGACTGCATGCATGTCGAGTCAATATAAAAAATGTTTGCATAAAGATTCACCGTCTAGTTATCACGGTATACGCTTTAAGTAATTTTGTAACAGTGTGCGGCGTATGCTAAATGGTTGTTATTATTCGTGTTGCAGGAGAGCGCACCTCAGAAATTGCCTCGAAAAGCTGAAAGTGTTGGTTCCGTTGGGTCCTGAAACCTCAAGACACACCACACTCGGTCTCCTGACCAAGGCCAAGCGTTTTATCAAGGTAAGTGAACAAATTTACCATAATAATTAGCTAGCGCTGTTGCGCCCTCCGGCCGCTTTGCATTACCGAAAACGAAGCGTAATTTACTTGAGCGGGTTAAATTACTTCAGTGAAATTTATATTAAANGGGCAAAAGTAAACGCTTTTTATTTAAAATAATCCGTAATTTAAAGTAAGGAAGTATCTTCTCATGTCTGACTACTGATTGTCTGATTCTACTTACGATTCTTATTCCCTTATTCCATTTTTTTTTTTTACGTCAATACTTATTGAAATAGTGATTAAAAGGTGTTAACAATTAACCGGTCCTCGACGCGGCTACATAAAAATATACTTTGCCAATGGCATTTTAATTAACGTAGCGCGACTCCCTAGCGGGCGCATTAAAATTAATCGGCCGGGGTGAGGAAAAAGGAATGCGAGGAGCGTGCGTTCTTCGAACGCGTTATTATCTCTCGGCGAGAGTCAATTTTCGCAACTCGGAAACCGCAAAATCTCACGCCTACACGGATGAAACAACGCCGCAATCATCGCGCTCTCGACGCTGCCTTTCTCCACCGCGAAATCCCCGCCGAAGAAACGCGTTATTTCCCTCCCGACAACGCGTTCCCGCTTCGCCACCTAATCTCCGCGAGGCAAGTTCGAGCAAACAGATACACCAGAATTGCCCATAAAAGTGCGCGCGAGAGCTCCGCGGCGGCGGCGGCGACGGGACGCGGCCGGGTGTTCGGGGCCCGGCGGTTTGAATATTTCATGGGGGTTTCCGCGAAAGCCACGGTTCGCGAGAATCACCGAGCAAGAAGCACTTACTGAAAGCGTTCTCCTCTTTCTCTCTCTCTCTCTCTCGTTCCTTTCCTCTGTGGCTCCTCGTATCTATGCATCTACTCTAGTGCGACGTAGCGTGATGCTCGCAGGGAAAGAGGAAGAAAGAGGACAAGAAAGTCTGGTAGGGGGAGATTTCTGGGTGGAAAACGGGTCGGGTAATTAGCAAGAAAGATGGCGGAAAAGATGGCCGAGTGTGAAAAGAATCGCGGTCGAGAACGGTCGATAGGGGAGTGAGAACGGAAAACAAGTCCAGGGACGGACAAACGTAGCAGTAACCCTTCTATCCAACAAATTACATATTCCAACCTGTTTCAGAGTCATAGCTATAAAAAACTTGCAGACTTGTTCAACGATTTTATCAAAATGTATGGTGCGTGAGTTCATTACATGATTACTTCTATCAGAGTTTAAAGTGGAATCAGCGATCAACAGACAATTTCAAATGATATTTCTTACTCCACTCTGTATATTAATTAGATTGATTTTTTTTCTCTGATATGGTAGATTTTAGTGTCGCACGACTTTTCGTGATATGTCACTCTTGTATATTTCATACGTTTGCAACGTCGGTCGTTATTGTCGGCATCAGGTGTTTCGTGGGACTCGATCGATGTATCTTGGGAATCTATCAAAATGGTTCGATGGTGATTGCTTCCGTTGATTATAGCACCGAATTTATTATTAATGAAAACAGTGATCGTTTGGTGACTCGATTTCTTTTATCTCCTGTTCCAATACAATTTTTCTATAAATGCGTAAAATCTGCAGTCGATTCCTTGACAGAACTTCAAATGTTTCAGTGGCAACTTAACGAAAAGTCAGATTTGGTAGTGAATTAAAAAGCTCTCGTAAAAAGAATGTCGGGACGAAGGAACTCCGTCGGGATAACGGAAGGTCGAGGCTGAAGGTGTCGTCGTAGCTAGCGGAGAGTGGCGACGAACAATGAACGCGTAGTTAGTAAATTATAAGCCAACCGGGTGGCGGGTACAATGCCGTGCGCCGTGCACCGAGTGCCGTGCGTGCGTACCGTCCGTGCGCGCACTGTTTCTACGACTATGCACGCGTGTTTGCCTCTATGTACGTTCTCCGTCTGGCCAGCGTCGGTTCTGAGAGACAGGTAGACGTACGTGTAGGGGGAGGGCGAGAGGGGGAGGCGGTGCAGCGGCGCGTATCCACCGTTCGGCCATGCATACAGAGTTCGCGTGGGAGATTCTCCGTATACATCAATCCGAGCCGCTGCAGGTACCTGTACATTACGCGGCCGTGCGTTAGATATCCAAGCCAAGATTTCACTGTGTCCTCTATCCCTGTCGGGAGGAGACAGACCACCGCCGATGTTTGCGTCACGACCCGGGATCCGTAGTCGGTTATCTTAACCGTTGCGATCCACGGTTTCGATTCTTGATCCCGAAACGAATTCCCGTTGTTAACGGGCGTTCACAATATCTGTGAATTAAATTCACGTTTTAAACGTTAGTACAATTTCTTAGTTTAGTCACAAGTAAAATTGAAAATTATCATCTTTGTGATAGATTATTTCTATCTTACTGAAGAGGCAGTACATTTGTTTTCTTCTCCTTTGTCTGTTCGCGTGCACACGCGGTGATTTTGACGGAGCAATTAATAGGTTGAAAAATTGAGGCTAATGAGTTTAATTAGAGACGCGCATAGACGTGAGAGATTAAGATTGATTGCAGAGTTTCCTTCTAGAAAATTGATGTATATTAAGATTATTTGTTTTTCCTATCTTCCATCGTACCACGAAGGTAATACTCTAGAAACTGTTGTTACATAAATTCGATGGTAGATAGGATATTATGACCGTCTCGCATTGATCTCAGTTTTACGTGTTCGTACAACGGAAAGAGATGTTAACAAAATGATACAAAGGAGTCGGTCAGGAATATTTCTATAGGTTGCTTCCAGACAGAATTCGAATAATTAACTGGAAGCCGGTGAATTATACATGGACTTTTAAGAACGCAGGAAAGTCTTGCGGTAAACGAAAACACGACGAACGAAGAAAAAGAAATTCATTTTGAATCGCGACCGACGACTCTCGTCGGGTGCACCACCTGTTTCCATTTCATCCTTCTTCCGCGAATATTTTTCCCTACCAGGTTTTCCTTCGCCACGGAGGAGCCTGTCTCACCACCCATCCTCTTCCTGTTCTTCTTTATTATTTTTCTCGTGAGGAAAGATTAAACCTCACCCTATCGCTTCCACCGTATCCTCACCTTTCACCCTCTTTCATCTTCCACTATTTATCTTTCACCCCTTATCTTCCTTCCTGTGTCAGTTCCGTTCCTTTTGATTTAGGGCAATATTCTTTCGCCGGAGAAGACCTCCCTTTTCCTCACTTTTATTTTTCGATTCAAACTTTCTTCCTTATTCCTTTTTATTGTCCTTTACCCCTTTCTATCTCTCTCAATTTTTTTTTTTTTTATCATTGCATCGATATTAACTTCGTTCTCGTTCCTCTTATTACAATTTCACGTTGCATCCGACCTCTGTACCACTCCGTTCGTAATTATATGAGTTTTTTCATTCGCGTAATGCATAATCGTCGCGTTACACAGTCGCGTGTATGCGCCGTGATGCATCGGTGCAACGCACCGTAAACTCGCGGAAGAAGGAAAGTGGGACTGCGATTGCATTAAGGAACACGACAATGGCTGGCTTCCGTTTCAGAAACAATGTCGCGGTTCCCTCTGATCGAGGTGACAGCGGCTCTTGAAACGCTGTTAGTCTCTCAGAATGTTAATGAGAAGCCGGATAGGTTGGAATTTTCTTCGTCCTCCGTGTCTAATTACTTGTATTATTTATTTCGCAATCTTTCCCATCAATTGACAGTGTTAACGTTAAACAAGCATGTAAATACGCATTTACTCGATACGAGTGTAAATTATACTGCACGAACGTACAGTGACTTTCAATAGAAGATTTCGCAATCTCAATTACACGTGGTCGCGTTTCGGTATGCAAGGGAGGAACTGAATCAGAGGACTGAGTTACACTTCATATTTTCACCTTCTTCGAACTCTTTCTTCTCTGAAATCGAATCGGAAATCGCTGGATTGATCCGTGATACTATTGTTCCGCGTATTCCGTATCTCTGTGACATAATAAACAGGAAAATTTAAGGTGGCAGCTGCAGGAGCGATTCGTATTCCGCGCGGTCGCGAGCAAACGTCGTATCAGGCTTTATTGGCCAGTGGGATATATACATCGGGGTTCCAGCTTGCGTCAAGCAGGATGCGGCACTACGTGGAATATAAACCGGGCGTTATTCGATCGGCGAATGGGAATACGTATTCGCGTGGCCTGGCCGAGCGTTTGCTTACCTGCCGCCGTGTACGCGTGTGACGCCGCCTCGTTCGCATTTTATTAACATTATTCAAAGCATTGTCCAAGCCCGGGTTTCACCGTATTAGCGGCCGATATAATTGCAGGAAACGCTTTCGCGTCGCGTCGTCGTCAGGAATCGTTATTCCGCTTACATCCAAGCCACTGGCCAGGCATCGACGCCTTTATGCTTGCACTCGCTCGTCTCATGGTGATCATCAAATGATTCTTCCGTAGTGTAATAATTATTGTATAAAACAGAGCGAGCTTGAATCTATGAAAAATTAAAATAATTTCTGCAGAGTTGCAATTTTTATTTTCTTCCGTAAAATGTATATTTGCATAAAACCAGGTACCGGTTCAGCGAATTACGTTGCCCGTTATTAAAAAGTCGGAATCTCCACGGTGACTTCATCGAACCTCGCGACGCGTCGCGTTTCTTCGTATCGGAAGCAGCGTGTTTGCATCGACCGTGGCATTGTTTTAAAATCGCACGTGTGCGTCATGTGCGCTGGCTGTGTCCCCCTTGCCCGTTTCCCTGGCTTGCGGCTCGGCCGAGAGGGACACGCACATGCATATTGCACCGGGCTGCCGCATAACCCAGAAACGTGTACGACCGCGCGGGAAAGCGCGCGGCCGATGCGATGCGTCGCATCGGGTAATGAATATGTATTCCGCTCCTCCGCGTTTCTCGCGACCCGTGAGCCCGTTTAGCTGCAGCCCATTAATCTCCAACTGGATTTGTGTATTATTTTAAATAAAATCCTACTCGCAATGATTATTGTTGCGACAACCGCGGCCATAGATTGTATCAATCGCGAATAAAACAT